TGGAAGTTGAAGTCCACTCATCTTAAAGTGGCCAAGTTTGGACAATACTGCCTTAAAGGGATTAATGCTACCGTCTTGAATTGGGTGTTAGTAACCTTTGACTGATGGCTGCTGCTTTCAGATACCAACCCTGCTACGCGTGTAATGTTGCCAGGTTCTGTGCAGCAGCGATTAAAACTCATCAGACCTGTGCCATAAACTAGACTTAACGAGCATCTAGTTCGTCATACTAGAGTGCTCAGTAATTTGATACAGTCTGCCCTATACTAACCTTTACGCTGCCCCACACCCATCTAATGCTCCTACCCTCCCTTTTTCAAAACTTTGCTTTTAATAAACTCCGATGGATCTTTCATGCTTTTTAAGTGACTGTACCCCACCCTCCTTATGCTGGTCTATGACCATAATAAAGATTTGATTTGATTTGATTTGATGGAAGGCCGAGGAAGAGGCATTCCTTCAGATTATAGGAGCCCAAGCCAACAAGAACTGTATAGACCCCTTAATGGTGCGGGATCCCAAAATCTGAAAGAAATGATGTCTCTTCTTATATCTTCCTGCCCAAATCAAGATTATTCTTGAAGGCCACCGTGTTCTGGGCGCTGTGCATATGGCATATCGAAGGGCCTGCCTTCTCACCCCGTTAGACCTCAGAATTCCTCTACATTCAGGCAACGCCTGATGCCTCCATTATAATCTCTCGGGGGCCAGGCAAGGACACTGTTTTTCTCAAGGCTTTTTAATATTTTAATTACAATCATATTTTATTATTGTAACTATGCACATAGTTAACTATTTTAACCATGCACAATGAGGTAAGTTCTTTCATCCTGCTTCTGTTATGCAACTTAGAACTTATGGTTGTTTGGACATTATGTACTTTCATTCCCTGTTTTCCATCTCAGTTTTTTAAAATTGTGATTTTAAAAAGTTTGGTAAGTTACCCTGGGTAAACTTTGCTGCCGGAGGAAAAGACTGTCCTCCCAGCATGAGTTTCCTGTCGACTCTCCTTTTTCTTAAGAAAAATCTTCCTCCCTCTCTGATGCAACAAGTTTGAAAGGAGACACTTTCGCTTTGCCCTGATTCCTTTTGGCCCACATTCATCTGCAGTTTCTCTTCTCATCCCATTTCCTCCTTCTAGCCTCTTTCTTGAGGGGAGGAGGCAATGCGAAGAAGCATCAGTCAAGGAGTGGCCACGGGATGGGGAGTTTACCTGAACAGGTGTGTGCTGATTCACTTTCCTTTTCTTCCAGCTCCTCAGTTTGACTTTGAATCTCAACGGATGCTGGTTGCGTGTGGCACTCAAGAGCATGTGGGATTCAGAAAATGGGAGCCTTTCTCACCCCCAGCACCCTGGGGCCGAGCCAGAACACTCTCCTTCTCCTGTCTTCCATCCCCAGTTCAAGCAGGCAGGTTCAAGAGTGTCGCTCTTTAAATACACTCCACCGTGGCAGGTCTTCTGTGCAGCTCTGGGGTCCAGGTCGCAGGTAAGACAATAAAGATCAACGTGTGGCTATCCCCAGGACTCATCCAAAGGTTGCCACCAATTTGAAATTTGAATGGCGTTGAAGGAAACCATGAGATTTATGGAAGGGATTGGGTGGTGTTGCTAAGAAAGCGACTTTACAGGAATGTCACTTGAAAGTCTTGCCTTTTAAACAGATACTATATTTAATTAACATCATTTAATTTTGATCAGGTTTAAATTTGGGTTCAATTGCATCATTGTAGGTATGATCCACTTCTTTGTCTTGGCCATGCCCACTTTAGGGGACGCTATTCAGTGACCAAAGGCAGTCCACTCTGAAAAAAACTGTGCCCCCCCCCCCCCATTTATAAGATTATCTATACTGCCTATCACAGAGATCCCACCTCAGCCTCCCAAGAACCCTGTGAGGTAGACTCTTCCTGCTATTTCTGCGTTTGCCCTTTCTGTATGTTAGAGCCAGGCTGAATAATGAATTGCTGTCCCTCATCCAGAATTCTTTAGAGGAGAGTGTTAAACAGTAATGCAAGTTTCAAATAACAGCTGAAGGGCTAGGTTTGATGAAACAACACCAAAGCCTCCTAGGGCGCTTAAAACATCCACCTGGGAGAGGATCCCACATGGATCTGGCTGCAGATGTGGAAGCAGAGGTTCAGGGAGTTTGGACATCCTCTCTCCCGTTTTGGGGAACAGCACTCTCATATTATAGACTGCCTTAAGACATGCAGGTTCTACTCCGGCCATCTGATAAACTTCTCTACCTAAAAGTTTCCCTGATGCAACTGAAAATAGCCTAGTACTTGTTTTTCTACACTAGCCAGACAGAAGTCTCTAAGAAGCACAGAAGCATGATTTTAAGCCTGCAAGCCCTTTATCCAAACCTGATCCCCCGCTGTTGAACACTGGCCTTGTTTATAGCCTTCCCATCCGCCTAGGAAGAGCTGAGGGCAGATTACACAAGCACATATCCCATTTTATTCGCACAACAACCTGGAAAGTCACATTGAACCAGTGACCTGATTAATCACTGAGCACAGAATGCCGTCTGAATAAAAGTGGCATTATTTTCCCTGTAGCGCACTGGCTGAATCCTCGGGTTGCTTTTCTGAGGACACTGAGTAGTCTTGCTGCATTGTTGAGGTGTAGGTCTAAAAGGTCACTTGCTGATCCCTGACCCAAGGGAGGCATCTGTTTTTCGATGGTTAGTTCTTCTTGTAATCCACAGTATTCTTAATTGTTGTTTAGTGCTGACTGATTTGCTCTTGTCGTTCAAGCTGTTTTCATTCATTTTCTTCAGCCTCACAATTCAAAGGCATCAGTGGTAGTTTTTGGAATCATCTTCAGATTCATAATTCAAATTCTCTTGTTTTTTCTTGATGTCCAGCTTTTGTAACTATCCTTTCTCTTGGAAAAACCACTGCTTTAATTATTCTGATGGTGATCTGTTGCCCTACAAATATCTTGTCTGCGTTGGTTATTGTCTTCCTCCTCAGGATTAATTTCTTCTTTATTTCTCCAACTTCAACATATCTTTGTCATTATCTATTCTTAAACCTCTTCCCTGCCAAAAAAAAAAAAGTAAGTCCACTAAATATTTTGGTTGACATTACCTTTGACTTCTTAATATTCAGTATTAACCCAGATTTTTCACTTCCCATGTTTCATTTCATTGTCTTATTTACTTTCAGCTAACACAGTGGTATCATCTTCATACCTGAAACTGCTAAGGTTGCAGCCTGCATTTTGATACCAGCTGACAAGCCTTCCAGTATTTATTTATTTATTTTATTTTATTTATTTATTAAATTTGTATGCTGTCCATCTCCCCAGAGACATATTGTCTGTTAAGTTAAACAGAGCTGGGGACAAGGTGCCTCCTAGTGCATTTCTGTACTGTATTCTGAACCATTCTACCTCTCCAAACTCAGCTCTCACACCAGCTTCTTGTTCACTGCAAAGGTTCCTCCAAAGAATAACCAGGTGTTTTGGCCCATCCCGTAACTATCACATCTGCCACATTTTAGTCTGATCTATACTGTCAAAGGGCTTACTTTGTCACAGAAACCTCATTCTTAAATTAACCTCATGTGACCCTGCATCACTTCTGTGATTCCTTCTTGGTCAAGCTCCCTGTGGCCCAGCCCTGGCCTACACGAGGCAAATGCCTTGCCAGAACTGAAATGGCCTGTCTGGCCTGAACATCTCGTGAGGGCTTCTGGAGGTTCCTCATCTCTCTAGAGAAGCAAGCAGTTTGGGCTAGGTAGCAGGTTTTGTCAGCAGCAGCCCCCTCCCCCCCTTGAAGCATGCTATCTCTGGAAGCATCTCTTCCGGGGGGGGGGCAGGGCATGATGTCAAATTTTGTAAACGAAATGCATTGCCTTTGGCGGCTACTGTTATGGCTGCCCCTGTTATGATTGTGATTTGTGCTTTGCTATTCACCACCCAGAGTCTGATCGGACTGGAGGGTTGGCAACCATTGGTAATAAATGTCCCTACCTTAGTTGCTGGAAGGGGATGCTCTACTTTAAGAGTGTGTGTGTGTGTGTGTGAGAGAGAGAGAGAGACAGAGACAGAGACAGAGACAGAGACAGAGAGAGTGCAATGCAGTCATGAGAACCAGGTGGTGCATCTTTTAAGGGGTTGCCCTGAGACTGGGAGACCTCATCTGAAATCTATCTTCAGCTTTGGGAGTTGAGTGGCTGCATTCACACAACACTCGTCCCCAAATCTGTTAAAGGATCTGGCAGCTGCATTCACACATTAAATTGTGTTAGTGTATTATGAAAACCTGGCCAGTGAATGGTTCAGTGTATATTGTATGAGCCAAGAAAATGGGTTAATATGTTGTATCAGGATAGAGACTTTGGGCCAATCATCTTCTCAGCTTAACCTATTCTACAAGGTAGTCCTGGGGATAAAACTGGAGGAGGGAATGCTTGATCTCCTGGAGGAAAGGTGGGATCTAAATTTAAAAAATGAATGAAAGAGGTGGGGGCAGAAGCTGCTGGGAGGGGAGAAAAGCATCTCCCTACACCTTCAACCATCAGTTGATCCAGAGCCAACTTTGTACCTTCAACCATCAGGCTAGCGGGATAGGAAGACCTTTCAAGCCATTTAAGTTTAGATATTAATTGGGGTCTTAATAGTATGTTGCAATCAACCACAACCATGTTGAGACATGCTTTATTGCTCTTCAGTTCCCTAAACTGAGTTAGCTAGCAACTTCTAATTGACCTTGGCTGATCTTGAAAGCTAACCAAGATCAGGCCTGGTTAGCATTTGGATCAGAAACCACTAGGACATCCCAGGACTGTAGGCTAGTCTGAGTAGTTGAAAAAGCATCCAAAGCCCACTGCAGTTGGGCAGCCAATAAATTTAAATAATAGGCAGTGGCACGCTACTTCCATATTGCCAACATGAAAATGACATAGTCATGCTCATGAAACCACCAATTTACCTTATCTAAAGTTAGATTATTCTGTATTTTTTTTTGATGCCATCTAATGATCATCTGGATATTTGCAGCCCAGTTCTGGGAACTGAATCTTATACCCACTTAGCACTGGAAGACTTGCATTAGTTAGTATCAAATTTGTTTTGGTTCAACACAGTTCAAGGTTGGCTAATTCAGTTTATCAGGAGTCAAAGAATGCTCCTAGGATCTTGCAGGAAGATCCTAGCAACCCAGTTTCCAACCTGGGGCTCTTTAAATATACTGGGCTCCATGTGACACATCTTTTGGCTGGGATCATGTCCAACACATCTGGAGAACAAGAAGTTGGGGACGGGCTGAATTACCATCTCACAAAAATTCTGGAGCAAAGCAGTCATAAATTTTCTGTGGCAAGGTGAGGATACAAGGCCTTGTCCTGTGGAAATGTTTAAAAAGTCCTTCAAGAATTGTTAGGGCACAAAGAAAAAAACCCGAAGCAACCTAGTTTCTATTGGGTCATAAAAATGCAACTGTTGCAAGGGCGTGCATGAAGTTTTCATTGGAAGCCGTGGACTTTGTCTTCAATGTACCATTAAGATGAGATTTACAGGATCACCAGTTGGCACCTAACACGTTTTCCTCTGTCATGAAGAAATATTCCGGGAACTATGCTGACACACACCTATTCTTTCCTGGATTTGGACTAACTTGGGATAAGATTGGATTTCCTTGAGCCTGCAGCAAATTACAGTGGGCTCTAAGAATGAAGCTTCTGAACATAAAGGATCAAGGCCTATTCTCCCATTAGGCAGGTGGAAGAGGTGCTGAAGGGAGGAACAATGGCAGGGCCAATTGCTCCCTTGGGTCTTCTGAGCTTCATTCTGCTCATTGCTTCTCCCCCTCTCTTTCTTGCTACATTGCTTTTCCCCAGTGCATCCTGTAGTAAGCGTGTGAGAGGGCCAGGAGACAGGGACTTCAGATCTGAATGTTTCATACTACAGACATTACAAAGGCTTGCATTGCTCCGTTTACTCAGTGTAGGTTGGCATTGCCACAGCAGCACTTGTAGTGTTTTTAAAATTAAAAACTTTTCATGATATATTTGGTTTTTGTAATTCTATTGCTCAAGAATGACCATCTTGAGGGACTTCCTGAGAAAAAATGGCGAACTGAGTGGAGCCAACAACTGCAGAGGAATGAAGAGCCAGCAAGTAGACCGGCTCTTAGTAATTCCTCTCTGGTCAAGAAGAGGACTTGAGATTATCCACAAGTGTTCCATACAGTCACTCCTTGCGAGAAGACTGCAAGACAGTGGTCTCTGGTGGGGTTAGAGCTCTGAGAGATGAGGGAACAGCTATCTTTTTCCTCAAAGTGTGTTTGGTGCCTTCAAAAGGACACTGGGTTTGCATACCTCCTTTTCTAATTACTTTTGGAAATTGCTTCTTAAGTGCTTTTTAGCTATTAGGAACCTTTGGATTGACATATTTTACAGCACTGGGTGAGTTTCCTTCAATCCTAGCAAAAGAAGTTTTAAATACAAGTTTAAAGACTTAAAAAAAAATTTCTTA